TCCTCTGCAGGGCTTTTCTGTCTGACAGACTGCAGCTGGAGTACCATGTGGAGATGCAGTATGTCAGAACGCTCTTCATCACACCTCTGTAAAAAGTCCTGAGGATGCTGGCAGGGAAAGAGGCTTGTTTCCGCTTCATCAGGGAATGCAGTCTCTGCTGGGACCGTTTGAAGATCGCTTTGGTGTTCTTATTCCAGCTCAGGTCCTGTGAGATCTGTATTCCGAGGAACTTGATGTTCTCCACTCTCTCCACTGTTCAGCCGCTGATGCTGAGGGGAGCATGCTCAGGACGTGACCTCTGGAAGTCGATGATCGTCTCCTTTGTTTTGTCCATGTTGAGCACTTCTTATTGCACCAACCCTCTAGGTGTTTCACTTCATCTCTGCACACTGATTCTTTGTTCCTGTGAATGAGTCCCACCTCTGTGGTATCATCAGCGAACTTGATGATCTGTATCCCCTCATGTGTGGCTGCACAGTCGTGTGTTAACAGTGTGGACAACAGTGGACTGAGTACACAGCCTTAAGGAGATCCAGTGCTCAGCGTGATGGAGTTGGAAATGTTATAACCAACCCAAACAGTCTGGGGTCTTTCGGTCAGTAAGTCCATGACCTAGAGACATGTGGTGGTATCCAGGCCGAGTAGGAGGAGTTTCTCTATGAGTCTCTGGGGGATGATGGTGTTAAACATGGAGCTGAAATCAATGTACAAGATTTTTTTTTTTAGTTATTTCTTTGGCCTTTTTGCCTTTATTATATAGGACAGTCAAAAGAGAGACAGGAAAGTGGGGGAGTAGAGTGGGGGAAGGGGTTGCAGCAAAGGGCCATGAGTGGGATTCGAACCCATGGCCGTTGCTTCATCACAATCGGTGTCAGTACGATGAGGCAATAGTCATTCAGACAGGCTGCAGCTGATTAGTGGATATAGTGGATGTTTTGAAGCATCTGGGGACAATGGCTTGACTGAGAGAGATGTTGAAAATTTCAGTCAGCACATCTGCCAGCTTGTCAGCGCAGACTCTGAGCACACGTCCTGGGATGTTGTCCAATCCTGTTGCTTTTTGTGGGTTGACTGTGGCTAGGGTCCTCCGTGTGTCTGCTGTGTTGATGGCGAAAGCTGGCCTTGACAGATGAAGGAGAAGGACCAGCCCCCTCTCTGATTGGCAGGTTTGATGCATCAAAGTGTGCAAAGGAAGTTGTTGAGCCTGTCTGGAAGAGAAGTGTCATCATCATCGACCCCCTGCCTGGTCTTGTATTCTGTCAGTGCCTGGACTCCCTGCCACATCCGTCTGGTGTTCCTGGATTTTCTCTGCATAGGTGCGTTTCGTGGCCTTGATCCCTTTTGAGAGCTCAAATCTGGCTGAGTGAAGAGCAGTCCTGTATCAAGTATCAAGTATTGTTCAAGTATCATGGAACACTAATAAACACCTTACTACAGCAAACCTTTCATGAGGACTATGGGTAAATTTCTTCAACAGTACCTATCTGCTTTGTAGTCTATATGTAAAACAGACCTTAGCTGATTTGGGTCGACTTGCTCTTAACCCTTATTCAACCAGGCAACTGGAATGAATCACTCATCTGTGGCTGGGCCAAAGGTGCAGATGTGCAGAGCAAATAACCTGCAGAGGAAATTTCACAGTCGTTATTTTTTTTTTAGAAAAAAAACTACAGGATCACTGTTTGTTTATGAATTCCACATCCTTCCAGTCACCTGGTTGAATAAGGGTTAAAAATGCGGGTTCGCTTGACTCTTAAGGAATGCTCAGTACATCCAGCTGTTCCATAATCTGACTGCGGTTTATTTAGGAAAACCAAAGAGGCAAAGAGTCATACAAAAGGACAGACTTAGAGAGAGAAAGAGAGATGATGCTTGTGGCTTTAACGTGTGGTGCTATAGTGGCTCTAAATGGTTTTATAGTATGTCATTAAGGAGCCATTCTAAAGATGCTTGGATGCCAAAGCAAAGCAGCATACTGTAGTTAGAGGTTATAATAGGAGGCTTGAGTGTCCATTGATACCAGAGCTGGTGTTCACAGAGAAGTGGCAACACTCCATTTAGCTGCTCATTTACATTTCACAGAAACAGTAACTGTATGCCGTGCCACTTCCTTCTCTGTAATAAAACCTGATATCGACACCATAGTGAGCGCTGAGCTAAAATAAAATGCTTAAGGCCATAAATTTTGCTTCATGCTAGAATGTCAGAGACAGTGGCTGAAACTAAGAACGAGCAAATCTGACAAATTGCCAGTGTTTTGAAACTGTAAAATGTTCTTTGATGCTGTTGTAAAGGTCACAGAGGAGTGGATGACAAGAGACCAAATGCAAAAATCTAAAATATATTTCAAACATGAAACATGTACACTGCACAACTTAATATTACACTGAATGATTGTGCTGACGCTAATATTCATAACTGCGATTTACGTCAAATAAACCACATAAACAAACACACGCTTGCATGCACGAGCGTGCTTTTTGTGCGCAATGCATTTCCTGCATGTAGGCTTATGCTTGTAGACATGTGAGCCAAAGTGTATGAAGGCAAAAAAAAAGGTTTTTATCCAATATTTATGTTAAAAGGACATGCTGATTTCAACAACAACAACAATGAGGGAAACTGATTTATAAAATATAAAGTGAGAAACAATGGAAGCTTATACTGAGTGAAATTTTATTTGGCTGTGTATAAGTGCAGACATAGAACTTTGTGTTTGAGGAAGCCACAGGACAAGTTTCTTGGAGATGTTGTGCTTTTTTATGTTTGAGTTTGGAACACTGATGCTCTGTTCCCAGACATGTACTGGCTTCACTCTTTGCAGTAACGTCATAATGTTGGCTGTTTTATTTTCATTTATTTTTCATATCACAATGTATTATGATGATATTTACTTGTTGTGGTGGGCGGTGCGTTCTGTCCAATGTACAAAAAGGGACTAATAGTTCAGAGGGGGAGGGTTTAACCCAGGTTGTTTTCTAAAGCTATGATTTACAGATAGCCCCATAAATGCTTCATATGCATTGTAAGACTACTAGGTGGCCTCTAGTCTCCACCCAGTTACTGCAGAGCAGCAGCTCAGAAGGGTCTATGAAAATATGGAGTAAGTATTTCTGTCTCATCTGAAATAGAGTGTTTTTACACGCCTGCCCGGAGACACACCCAGACCTGCTAAATGTCAGGTGCACTGGTGTGACTGATGAAAGTGTTTAGTTGCACCTGACAGATTTCTGGTCACAAGCGTGACCAAAGTAGTTGCACGCTGGAGCCTTGTCAGCATATACATTTTGATGAACAAACTTTACCTGCTGAAGAAAACCATGTCAGAGAGTTAAAAGCTCCAGGAAAGCCTAACTGGTTAACACTGAGAGGGACAGAACAGACAGCAGATGGAGGACACACAAACAATACATAGGAGAACAATAATTGGACATAAAGAGCTGTGTGTGTGTGGGACTAATGTTAGAGGAGCTGCTCTCCATCGTGCTGGCAAATGGCACTGAAGTAAATAATAATGGAATCATTTCCTAAATTTAGCTACTGCATTATTAGATAAACATCTGCTGTAATGGAACTTTTGGTAACAGAACTCTGTAGTTCATCATTGTAATTAAATAAATTAAATGTTGTTAAAAAATTATCAGACAAAATCAGGTTTTAGGGAAATACAGTCAGATGCGACAAAATCAGGTTTTAGGGAAATACAGTCAGATGCCATTTGTCTAAACAAGATCAAGGGTGTGATTGAAACAGTGAGTTGGTTTATTGCATTTCTCTGAGAATTCAGATAAAAACTACCTTAAAATTTCCTGAAGAATACAATGAACACGACAAAAACTGCAGCTGATTACATAATACTTTATGTACAAACCAGACTGTCTTGCCCCTACAATAAACCATGGGGGTGGATCAGTGACGATCTGGGGTTGTTTCAGTATGGGTGGAACAGGGCAAATAAAATTGTGTGAAGGGCGAATGAACCAGGTCATGTACAGTGATACTCTTGAAAACAATGTTCTTCTATCAGCTGGAAAACTCTTTCCTGCCTCGAACGACTGGATTTTCCAAAAAGACAATACCCCTTGCTACAGAGCAAGATCAGTTAAAGCCTGGATGGAGGACCTGAACACTGGAACCATGCCTTGGCCTGCTCAATCACCAGATCTAAATCCAGTTGAAAACCTGTGGAAAATCATCAAACACAAAATGGAGAACCACAAGCTCAAAAACAAAGCAAATTTGTTTGAATTTGTGCAACAGCAATGGGCTACTCTGACAGCAGAACAATGTCAGAAGCTGGTGGAGAGCATGCCAAGACGCATGGCTGCAGTCATCAAAAACAGTGTTTATGCAATCAATTACTAACTCCTGTGTGTATCATGTGACTAAAACAGACAGAAAAGAAAAATGAAATGCCTAAAAGCACTGTTTTTGGCAGTACAGTGCCATAGCTAATGATGTAAGAACTTAAGTGATTTTGGTTATTATCAAAAAAAAAAAAAAACATGGAAAATGTCAAGATATCAGCTCTTAAATGAAACTCTTATGAGCTATTTTTGTTGTTATCATTATATTTGTCCAAACAAATGTGCTTTTAGTTGTACTAGGCATTAAAATGAAGAAGAAATTGAAGAAAACAAGGATGGTCTAACAATTTTTTCCATGACTGCATGTACCAGTCTTGCTCATCTGTGGTAACTTATGCAGATGGTAGGTTTCAGTTTGGTGAATTTGACATTCTGTAAAAAGAGTCCCAGGTCTGTTGTACGTAGCTGGAGAGTAAGTAGCAGGTGGCTGTGGAGCTGTGTGTGTTCGCTGTTTTTGTTTGTTGCCTCCATTCCGTTAATATTGTAGTTTGCATTCCTATAAAAACCTCCAGTGTCAGATGTAATAAAACTACATCTACAGTACTTCTCACCACTTTCTTTTAATGTGTTCTTTTAGTGAGTGTCAGCATGGGAGGAGTTTCCAGTTGCACTTCCTCAAGTTGTGTGATATTACAACTACCCTGAAACATGTGGTCTGAACAGTTGTTACTGTGGCTAGTACTGGAGCTTTGGTAGAGTGGAGCTGCAGGGTGAAGGAGTATTAGCCATGTTTTCTAAAGGTAAGATACATGCATCATGAGGAATGTTGCTCCCTTTGCTGTAACCAGATGAGAGATGTTGTAGTTCTCTGGATGATAGATGGTGTAGTTTTCTGTGTTGTGGAATTGTTGAAGAGGTTGAAGGAGGATGAGCAACCCGACACAGATAGACACACTGGAGACTCAGATGACTTAAATTGAAATAAGGTTTACTGATCAGGAGAAGTGACACTAACAGAGCAGCAGTTCACGTGCGCAATGCCAGCATCACTTCTAAAGATTCTCTCACACCTTCAGTCTTGCACCATCCTTCGGTGTGGACCATATCTAGGTTTATGGATGACAGGAAATGAAGGGATAGTCTGGCGCCTTGGTGCAATCTGGCCTTGAGAGGTACAGAGAGTGCCTTGAGGGGCACAGGGAGGGCTTGCCTGTCCTCCTACATGAGGTCAAGAACCTATAGAAGATTTGAAGATTGGTACACATCTGTTATAGATACAGCCTTTACTTGGGGAGGTCAGGAGAGGAGTCCTTCACACTCTGGATGAATGATGATGTAGTCCTCTGTAGCCCAGGTTTTAGTCACAAGACAACAATCAGATGTGTTTTTTGCAGTTGTAATCAAACCAAATGGTTCAGAATAAATCCTCAATATGGATCATGCAGACAACATAACATAACTTTCTCTTGTCAACTTTTGCTGAGCATGAGACTAAAGCCCAGCATATAATGAAAATGCTGTACTTTGTTGGACACTGATCAGTGTGACTGCTCATCAGACATCATTCTATTTCAGCCTATTCCTTTCCTCATTTTGTCAGCCACACTAGTAAAACTGCCGTCCTGTTGACACAAACAATGGGAAGTCCTTTCACGCAGATATGTCTTATCTTTTTTTGTCATGCATGTCATAATATGAGGTTTGTGTGGTAACTTTTTTGTTCTCAATGTGGGTCCAACGTTGAGGGGGAATTTTTAAAAATGTACTGTTTCTTAATGTGATCTTGAAAAGCGAAAACTGTGTCACATTGAATCTCCTATTAAAAATGATCAATAAAATATTGGTAATATTTTAATACTGTACCAGAACTTTTTAAATGAACAATGTGTGTGAATGAAGTGTGCGTGTAGCACTGTACTTGAACATTCCAACATCAGCACATGCATGCAAATTTTAAATTACTTTAACTGTCACAGCACATTTAATTTTCTAGTAGTGGATAGTGCAATAAGTGTTTAGTCTCAGCTTGAATTTGTTTGCATTTATGTAAAATAATGAAGAGCTGTGTGATATAGAACCCTGTAAACAGATGACACTGTCGAACTCACAAGTATGTCAGAGGTGATGGGAAGGACAGAGCTGCCATTTAGACTAAATTGGAGCTGCTGTCTATCAAAATTGGGAGTGAAATTAGACCATGCAAATGAAGAATAAATATTGAGGCTCTAAATAAATCAAAATTGCAAACAGATAAGGACAACCTCTTTCTGACTACACAGCTAGTAAACTATGGTCTCCAGGAAGCAGGTGTCTGTGTTCCTTTGTCAATGATCAAGAGGAGACTAATGATCAGAACGTCAGTGGACTCCCCAGAAAGTGCAAAGCACAGCATTGACAGGCAATGCTAGATTTTAATCACTGACATAAAAAGGTGTGTCAGTGATTTACAGGAAAAAGATGCAGTTACGCTGTCAACAGGAAGCCATTGCATTTTTTTCCCTTTAGATTTCTCAGTCTCAAGTACATAGAATAGATTAAATGACGCTGAGCTGAGTGAATATGCATGACTAGCAAAAGGAAAGGAAAGGAAAGGAAAGGAAAGGAAAGGACACGAAAATCAATTCAGTCTACGTAATTTTTTTTCAATTCCAGTGGCGCGGCTCTGTGGATGACACTGTTGTTCTGTTAGATGATTCAATGATCCAGACTGAAATAGCTCAACAAACAAACAATCTTAGCTCCCCCCAAGACTTGTCAGGTTCAAAGTCATGTCAAAGAAGCTGCACAGTGTCAGGCCTGAATGAAATAAAATTCACTGTCATGTGCACTAAGTTCGATTCTCCTGTGTTCCACAGAGGCCAAATGACACTGGACTATCCAATCACAGAAGATGAACGCTCAACCAGAAGAGACTAGTTTAATCCATCGCTGAATGCTTCAACCAACATGAAGATTTGTGTGTGTATGTTGTTATATTATAGTTGTGCTCATGTAGACAAGTCAAGGGTAAAGTAGAGCGAGTGTGAGCAGACTGTGATGGTGTTCACCATGGTTGAAGAGGACGTGATCAACTGCACCATCAGCCATGAAATCCACCAGTACCTCTTCTCCTGTGTGTACATCCTTGTATTATTGGTAAGTATGTGATCTTAAATACTTGAAAATGTCTGAACACAATGTCCATAGTTCATGGAAAATGGTTTGTTTCCATGTTGACTTCAGTGTGATACCGGAAACAGTCATGTCTCAAGCTCTAGAAAGCCTGGTTCCTCTTTGAAAACGCAAGACTGTATCAAAGATCCTTACAGAATAAGTTCAATGAAAGTGCAGCATGAGTCTTAAGTTTCATCAGTGGGGTCATATTTATTGCACACGTAGCTCTAAATGTGTTGGTGTCAGTGTTGTAATTGCTAAAGATGTACCTCACCAGAACAGTGTATGCTACTGTGCTGAACTTTAGCAGGACAAACTTTTCTCTCCCCTGTCCTGTAGCTGGATGCTTCCTTCTCTCCTCCATAAATTACAAAATGTTTGTCCAAAATCAAAGTTTAAATTCACTCTTTATCAAATGCACCATTTCCATAGCAAGGTGGCCTTGCAAGCATTTTTTTGTGTGTATTCTTGAAGTCAAACAGATGTGGTGAATGGCTGCATGTTTTTTGTTATAAAACATTTCCAACATTTGAAGTCTTATCTTCTTTCCTGCCTTTCTTGGCACATTCCAAACACCTGTTGATCCTGTTGAGCCTTCCAGTGCTCCATGTATTTAATGGATTTGATGACAGGTAAATGTGGAGGGGGCTGCAGGTGGCTCGGTGGTTAGCACCATCACTTTTTGTCCTGGTTAGGACACCTGGGCTCTTTCTGTGTGGAGTTTGCATTTTCTCTCTGTGCAGCGTGGGATCTCCAGCTTCTTCCCAAGAAGCTTGAGCTTAATTGGTGATTCTAAATTGTCTGTCTCTAAGTGTAGCCCTGTGATAGACTGGCGACTTGTCCAGGGTGTCCCCTGCTTTTACCCTAAGTCGGCTGGGATAGACTCCAGCCCCTCCACAACCTTAGTGAGGATTAAGCAGTGTATAGATAATGGATGGATGGATAAATGTGGAGGAAACTTCACCCAACCAGTTGAGGCAGATGACTGCTTTCATAAGCCTGGTTCTGCTGGAGGTCTTTTTCCCCCTCCCTTGGGGGGGGCTTGGTTCCTTCCCACCGTTGCCAACCGCTTGATCAGTTGGAGTCCAAAGTCTACTTTGGATTGTTGGGTTCTCTGTTTAAATTTGTAAGGTCTATACCTTACTATGTTAAGCCCTATGTGATGGCATATGTTGTAAACTGACTATACAAATAAAATTGAATTGAACTGAATTGAATCACATTCAGCACTCTTTGGTCGTCAAAGTTTTGAGAGGCATTCAGGCTCATTATGAATCCTCTTCTCCAAAAATGCAAACCAGAGGCTGAAGAATGTCTCCGAAGACAGCAGTGCTTCTTGTCTTGGTCATGGTGGAGTACATTCATTGCAGCTGTTCAACTCCAAAGTAACAAACCTGGTCTCCTTACATTCACCCTTATGTTATTACTGCTAAGTTATTAGTAAATAGGACTTTATTCCATCATCCACTGTGAAATACTATTACCTCTGTGTCCACTTAAGTGATTGTCCTTGTTTCCCTCTGACGAAGTGGTTTAGCGACACCACTAATCCTCTGGGATACGACTGGGCAGCTTTCTTTAGATAGGACTTGATTGGATACTGATACAGAGCAAGACTGCAATACTGACTTGATACTGATTGGAGACTTGTGTTCTTTTTTTATTACATTCTGTATCTGTGGTGAAGCTGATTTTCTATCTCTCTATGAACAACTTATAGTGTGGTTATTTTTGTTCTGCCTGATCCTGCTTTGAATATACCTGATCCAGTTTCTATAATGTCTTTTAGAGCTCCATGCACTGCCTCTTTAGAAACCTCCAGTTGAGCCACGTTTAGCTTCGAAAACAATCTGACTTCTATGACTGTCATTTAGTTGTGTCGCCATGTTTCTTCATTTCACGTGTCAGAACTTTTAGGGTTTTAAAATACTTCTAAATCTTCAAACTCTCTGATTATTTCCAGGTTAACATCAAAATATGACACATTTTCAATGGACCCCACTGTAAACAGAAACATGTGAATAGGGATGAAATAATGCAGTATTGCCTTAGATGGAAACAAAATGTTGCCCAAGACATTCTGCTGTTGTTAATATCATACAGAGACCAGTGGTTTAGCAGAATCATCTGGTATGGACATTCCTGTTTTTGGTGTCTGTCTGTTCACAGAGAATAAAAATAATCCCACTAAGTGATTTTCTTGATTCCAGGTTGGTGTTCCCTCCAACCTGTACTCCCTGTATCACGCTGCTCTACAGCTGAAGCAGAAGAATGAGCTGGGTGTTTATTTAATGAACCTCACTGTGTCTGATCTGTTATACCTGGCCTCATTACCACTGTGGCTCCAGTACATCTTTCAGGTAACTTAGTCTCCCCCCTCCTGTTCCTCTCATACATCACATCAGCTTTTACAACATACATTGTAATTTCATGCATGTGTGTTGTTGTTTTAGGATGATGATTGGCGTCACAGAGAATGGTTGTGTCAGTTGTGTGGTTTCCTGCTCTATGAGAACATCTACATCAGCATTGGCTTTCTGTGCTGCATCAGTCTGGATCGCTATCTGGCTGTGGTTCATCCTTTAAGGTAGGACAAACCAGCGTGGACAAAACACAAGCTGCTGCTCACCTCCGCTGTTACCTTCTTTACATGTTTATCTGGACTGAGCAGTTGACCGAGTCTGCAAGATATCACATTTATATTGTATTTGTGTTGAAACACACTTCTGAGCTGAATTGTTTAGTTAAGATCAGAATACACACGTTTTAATTGGTGAGGTTGACTGTGCTGTTGCATACAGTTTTGTGTGATATTTAAAAATATATAATATATGTTTATATACATTTCTTAATATGAATGTAGATTCAACTTATATATATATATGTTGAATCGCATGCATATATATATATATGCATGCAAGTACATATGTTTGTCAGCATATGTGAGCAAACACACTCTCGATTCTCTCTGACACAGTGCCTCCAGATGAAGGTAATATATTCATTTATCAGATTAGAATCAGAGGTGATTCTAACCGAAGTGATGCACTATAATGATGATGAATGAAACTTCTTTAGGGAGTGACAGTGGAACTTCTCTTATGTAAACCTCCAACATTGAGGGCCTGCTGCACTCTTTGCTATTTAAGTGTGTGGTGTCATCTTGCCAAGATCTAAAGAGCTCTCTAAGATCTTTAGAAACATGTTGCAAATGCCTTTTGGTCTGGGGGTCTAAATGCATGTGTCTACATTCCCAAAAGACGTTGCACAAATTGGACCTGTATGGGAGGTGTGTCAGGACAAAGGACTTGCTTTCAAAAAAGAAGAACATTAGAGCAACACTACCATTTCACAAAGAATATGTTCAATTGAGCAGATGAATTTTGTATGGAAGACAGTCAAACATTTTAGCAAACTGATGTCAGGGACTCGTGGATAACTATACAAAATACTTACAAGAAGCTGCTATCGCTAACAGGGGCAGTACTGCCTTTTGAGGCTGTAGAAGAATATTACATCTATTGATATTTTGTAATTATCTTTGGGCTTTTGTTCATGTAACCTACATCAGTAGGCACTGTTTCAAAGAGGATCAGTTGTTTTTCCAAATATGACCAAAAAAAAAATGTCAACAATTTGTACTTTTTGTTCTTTTTCTTTTTTTTTTTACATGACTGTACCGTTTTGGTTTCCAGGTTCACCTCTCTCCGCTCCATGAGTGCAGCATGGTTTGTTAGTAGCATCATCTGGCTGAAGGAGATAGCAGTAGGTGTGGTTTTCTTCCGCCACAAAGAACTGAGCAAAGACCGCAAGAACCAGTCAGTGTGCTTCGAACACTACCCCATGCAGCCGTGGGAGTATCCAATCAACTACTACCGCTTCACGATCGGCTTCATGTTCCCATTGGCCATTCTGTTGGTATGATAACTTTTTTTAAAAATTGAATTGCTCATATGTAAAAAAGGTGGAAAGGTTACATTTTACTCTATTTCTATAACTACTCGTACATTTGTCAAGTAAATGAAGTGGAGTGAGAAGTGTAAACCATATGTCCTGTTAGTCACATCACTGAAACCATTGACAGGTGAAATGAATGACATTGATCATCTCGTAAAATGCAATCTTCTACTGGGAAACCTTGGGTCCTGGTATTCTTGTGCATGTTACTTTTGCACTGCCTAAACAGTTTTCCAGGCATTCCCTGATGGCACCAGTCTGCCCCTCCAGGACAATGCGCCCACAGTAAAATTGCTCAGAAACAGAACCTAAGGCATTGACCTGGCCTTCCAATTCCCTTGATCCCATTATGATTGGGTACCCACTGGAACAGTTGTGATCCACAGAGGCCCTATCCTGAAACCAACAAAACCAAGAGGATCTGCTGCCAGCGCCACAGTACCAGACACCACAGAGCATCCTCAGATGTGCTGTGTTCATGCCAACATGGTTAGAGCTGTTTTGGTGGCACGAGGGGATCTACATTAATATTTAGAAGTGGCTTTAATGCTGTGGCTGATCTGTGTAGTGTACAACAAATTGGAAAAACTGAAATACAAGTGCCTCATAACTGTCTTTGGGCAACTTTGGAAATTAAAGAAAATTGAATGTGCTACTCGGGAAACGTACATTGTCTTGCATTAAAACCTTTCCAGAGGCACCGACATGGCTTAGGCCAAGGATCACAATGCCCCGCTTCAGTCCATGTTACATCTTTCTGATCTCCTTTCATCATCTTGCTGTCTTAAAAAAAGAATATACAAATGTCCCCAACCGCAGTGGTAATTGTAGAGCAAATAATACAGGTAAGACTTGGAAGTTATACTATGGTGCAAGAAAAAGCAGAAAGGGTACATGATTCAGAAGAAACACTGATATGAGGTTGAGCTAACAAAGGAAGGCTGCAGTAAAGACATTAAGAGGATTAAAGTTATCTGAACATAATCCGGTGACCTGTATGTTTTCTCTTGGTTTAGATCAGCTACCTGTGTGTCCTTCGTGCAGTAGGTCGGAGTGCAGGAACACAGCCGGATCAGAAGACGAGGATCAGGCAGTTGGTGAGCAGCACCATCCTCATCTTCCTCGTCTGCTTCTCCCCCTACCACATCTTCCTGTTAGTGCGCACCCTGCTGGAGCGGGACTGCAGCTTTATTGGAGGTACTGTTGCATTCATTGGAAGCAATCCACTGAATAAAGTTAAAAATGTTTTTACATTAACAGCGTGTTTCGTACATATTCTTGTTTTCCAGCAATATTTAACTACTACCACCTGTCATTGTTGCTGACTACCCTGAACTGCGTGGCCGACCCTGCTCTTTACTGCTTCGTCAGCGAAAGCGCCCGCCGCGGCCTGTACAGAGTCCTGTTCCGACCTGTTGCTAAGATACTCTGTTGCTGCTGTCGCCGCGGCAATGCCAGCCCTGCCAACCCGGCCAGTGATTCCCACGAGGTCGCCACCGACGAGAACAATGGTCACCCGACCGTGACGCTGCTCACGCACACCAGTACGCTCAACAATGCAAAAACAGATGCTACCTGTAAAAACACAGTTTTAATCAGACAGACTGATGAAAAAACTATTGTACCAATAGATGTACAAAATAACAAACACTCTGACAAATATGTGGAAGGAAAGCCCAGCTGTGTGATAGCTATGGAGGGGCAGAGCCAAAAGACAGAGAGGACTGAGAAAACTGACATCAGCTAAGATCACCAGGAGAAATCAGCTGGTGGGCCCCTCAGGGCCTCAGACCAAGAGAACAAAGACTGATTACCAGAAAACTCTGATGGATGCTAAGAGTGAGTGAAAAGTACCCAAAAGACAACTAACCTGTGTGTAGAGCTCAGTGTGGCAGTAATAAGAGCCTGCTGCCCACCCACTTGTGTTTACATCATTGTTATTGTTATAACACAACTCTTGATACGTCAACTGACACTTTAGAAGAGGTCAGGCTGGATCTGATGTGTATTTTGTCACAGTAAATGCCCTGTTTACATTTCTGTGGTTTGTACATGTGGCAGCCAATTGAAGGCATAAAGGTCATTATGGGTCAGAGGTCAGAGTTTTAAAAAATCAGCTACTTGCCAGTATTATTTTACACAAGTATTATGTTATCATCTCTAAGTAAGAATGTATAAAAGGTAAAGAGAACTAATAGCTACAGTAATGGTTAATAAATGCTTTATAGATCAGTTATACACCATTAATAATGTTCAGGTTTGAGCAGTAGAGTACAGACCATGTAAGGTGGGTGCCTCTCCAAAGAGCCTTTGCTGCAGTATTACAACAGTGTTACTTTAATTAAATTACATCATATTCACCAGTATTAACAACGGTGTTCCAACATAGCCTGGTACTATAATTCAATTTTAATTTATTTATATAACACCAGTCATGACATCTCAGTCATCTCAGGGCTCTTCACGTGGTAAGTTCAGCACCTTAGACTATTGTACAAATGTAACCAACGTACTTCATTTCACTTTTATTTAAAGTAAGAGTTCATTCAAAGCAGCTGATAGGCTCACACTCCTGTGTCCTGAGCAGTGAACACAGCACAGTTATGCACAATATAGCTGCTGCCACAGGATCGTCATCAAGTGGTAAACAAGACCTCAACAATAAACAGTTAGCGACTGGTGTTCAGATTTAGCCTTTATGTGTGTAAAGCTCTGTGATCATGTGACTCCAGCCTCCAGGTTGTCTCAGGACAGATTGTGAAATCCCATATAATGAAAGTTTTTTTTTTCAATTTGGTAATACTGAACCTATAAACCATTACAATAAATTTATTTACACTCTTAGTTGTTCTTATTCATGGTTTATGAGTGTTCACTAAAGTAAGTTATTTATTAACCATTAATAATATCATTAGTTACAACTATTTTTCATAAAGAGTGACTCATTATGAAGTGGTACAAGTGTTCCTATTGCATTGTTAAAAGATGCAGTTTATTTATAATGATGTAACTGCAGGCAGAAAGCCTGCAGCTTTTAATATTGACAACAAAGCTACATATTTCCAGGCTTAATAATTCTGCAATTGTTTGATTAACAACTGCAACAAAAACAATACAGTAGCCTCCATCTGTGAGATAAAGAAACAAAATAAAGAACAAATTGATGAAACCTTGATGTGGGACTCATGACAAACCACGCCTGCACTTTGACCACATCCTGAGCACAACGGTGGATTGTTTTGATCAGTGCGTTAACACAGTGTACTATATTAGGTTGAATACTTCTGGTGCAGCTGTACTGATGTAGTAAAATGAATGGAATTGCTGATGTTACATGACTTTTTGAAAAACACTTGTTCCTAATGGGCTGATGGGTCGACAAGGCCTCTACAGTTTGTTTTTGGTTGATCTTCATTTAAAGAAAGATACAAACTTAAAAGCAGATGACTTTGGTTTGATTTGATGTTGATGTCAGTGAATGCAGACACATGTTCAGTATGAGTCAGGCTTTAAAAAGGCAGTCTGTGACATTGCCTCGTCTGCCTGCTCTGTCCACGTCTGCTTCTGTCGGACAAAAGTCAAAGGAAACCCTCTCCAGTGTCTGCGTGTTGTTTTATGCATGAATGGGCATGACACTAAATTGTTATTATTGCCAAAATTTGATATACTTAAGAATCTGTGTAGACTAATGGCATAGACAAAACCTTTGCATGGAAGAGTATGAAGGCCAAAACTTAATTTGTTAGGAAACCACAACACTATGGTGAGTGTCTGTGGAAACAGGCTGTTATTTTAATTGTGTTAAAATGTGAAATTGTTGTCATAATCTAAGATATCATGGAAATATAACATGGTCAGAACTTCTAAAATGTTCATCAGGTATAACTTATTGTTGGAAGATTGAATTGACACAGAGATATGCTATGGTATTGTTATGGAACTATAACATTATGGTCAAGTGTCCAATGAAATAATGATTTAACTTTACTGTGATGAATGTGATGTATGTTTTATAAAGCTTTGAAACAGTGTGGTAAAAAGTGAGGCTTTGAAACTTTTTAATGGTGTGTGTGAAGTGGCTGCCTCGAGCCACGTGGTAGTGGTAGCAATGCAGGGTGTGTGTGCGTGCGTGCGCGTGTGTGTGTGTATGTGTGAGTGTGTGTGTATACCTACTTGACTGTTAGGTTTCTGTGCGTATGTGTGTGGTTGCAGTAACCTTCTTTTTCTCTAAACAGCAGAGGAGCTCTTCACTTCTGAAGAGTGGCCCAAGTGTAATGCAGCCGACTGATTAAATCAGGCCTTCCTGATTACACAGGTGATACGACCACACTGAGCAGGAAGCAACGTGTGACTGCGTCTGTTACCTTCAAGTACCAGCTTCTGGTTTGGCCACATGCCGTCGTCTCTCTTTATTTTTGAGTTTAAGGATGTTGGTTGATCACTTTGGTGCAGTATGAAAACTCTCACTATCAGTTGCCGTGAAGTCTGACCCTAGAACGTCGAAGCTGCAGTGTACTGGCGGCAGTCAAAAACACATTTTCAGACATCCAGGGTTTCATATGTAACATACCTAAAAATCAGAACTGTGAACTTTCCGGGTTGGGTTTGTGTGTCATTCCATATCGTTATTCTTCTTCATCATTATGTGATGTAGAGTAATCTTGCTTAGCCAACCCATTCTGTGGTACATGATGATCTGCAGGCACCTCAGCTCTGGTTTGTTTATATTTATTTAAACCAATCACAGCTGTTGTGGGCAGAGCCTAGCAAAAGGTGCAGCTTCTGTCCTCCCTCTAAACAGCAATGAGTGGAACAACAAAACAGTAACACATAGACAGTGAAAGGGAAAAACAAAACTGACTGAAAGGAGTGGCCAATAGCAGCTTTATACCCACAAGTTACATCCAGAGAGCTAGACTAGATATAGAGTGACAACTAAGTCATTTAACAGCATGAAGAGGTTATTTTTATTGAAAAAAAATTCTCAATATGTAACTTTGAGATACGTTTTTAGAGATTAAATAAACAACCTTAGATGTACGTCTACCAAAAAAGGGAAAAGCTTTAGCTTAATCATGAATATTAAATGGGTTTCTAAGTATTAAATCTGATGTGTAGGTTTAATGAGGACGATTTGCTCCATCACAGTCTGTCTTGGCTCCTCAATGGGTGAATAAGTGTGATTGTGGCTGATGTATTTTCATCATCCCTTTTGGTTTCCCATGCTTTCGAAATCACTTTACTCACATTTCAACATTACTTTAGTTGTCCACTGATTTTTCTGCTCATGTTCTTTTAACCAATCAGTCCCTGTTTATTAAGTGTCAATGTCATTCTATCATTTCGCCTGTCAGACCTTCTAATATGCAGCTGTTCTCCTCCTCATCACCACCTCATCCTTCTGGATGTCCAGGGAGTCTCAAATGAAGTTTCCATCAGCCATCAGCTCAGTGTCCGACCACCACTAATACCTAGACTCTGGAGGATCCTGTCATGTCTCTTACCTTCCTGTGGAACAGTGCTACGAAGTAGTTTTTCATTGTTGAAGTGTAATTGTCAAAACTTTTGTTCCACAAACTCGTATTACTTCTGTAACTACTGTCTTTTACTTCCACAGGATCTCTCCTTATTGAACTATCCTGAGAGTTTTGAATGATAGCACATTCCTTTTAGGAAAATCTGGTTGTTTTAGCAGCTCTGTATCTGTCTCTTTACTTCCGAACTTGGGGAAGTGAGACTATTTTATGGCAGGATGGAGGAGTTATTTGTGTTTATTAGTTTTAGGAGATTAATAAATACAGCTGTCAGGTGAATCAGGAGCTGAAAATGAAAAATGACTGTGTGTAAAAACAAAAGTTCTCTTTGTGTGTCACTGTATTTGTTTTTCTAACAGAATCCTTCCTCTTGAGGGACTTACAATGTCGTAAGAAAAGGGGTTTAAGTGTGTGTGCGTGTGTGTGTGTGTGTGTGTGTGTGTAAATTAGAGCCCTTGACAACACTGGAAAGTGTGTAATAGGAGATGTGAGATCAGTGTGCAGTCTCTGGATGAGCATCATGTGTATGTGAGAGAGTGTGTGTGTATTAATCTTGGCAGTGTTAGCTGCTCCTGGCTGCTGCTGTCGTCCAGCAGGAAGTCCCATTAAACCTGGGTCATCTATGGATCAAAGGTCACAGTTGAAAATGGGATGAAGGGAGATGAGAAGAGCAGCGTGGCAACAAAGAACCAAAGAAGAGAGCCATGTTAAACTGGCCTCTATTCTGGGGCTTAAATATTTGCAAGATTTAATTTTTTCATCTTCTGAGTAAATTTCTAATCCATTCAAGAAACCTGGGAGTCAGGGTCAGGCTCCAGCCCCCCCCCCTTCGCGATCCTAGTGAGGATTAAGCGGTGTATAGATAATGGATGGATGGTCTATGAGGATTGACTCTGTTTTGGAACTCGTCTCAAGTGGTGATTTGAGGAGCTGCAGTTTTGTTTTTGTTTTTTGTTTTTTGTCATCATTTCTCAGCCCCCAGAAGTTGCAGATTATTTGCTTTTTCAGTGGTAGTGAAAACACTGTTGCATCACTGTATCTTAATAGGGCACTTACATGTGGCTGAAGGACTAAACCCTTCTCTACAACTTATGCACATCGATAAATATAAAGGTCACCAATACATATCTCAGCTCAAGTGTACCTTACATAATGTGTGTCTGCTATTTAGTTTTCCTGGAGTACTTAACTTGCTGAGCTCGCCTCATCCAAACAGATCGGATGGTTCAGAGTTAGAAGGCATAATGTCAGTCCCTTTTGACTGTAATGAGGGAGAAGCTCTGTGAGGTCGTGGACTTAATCGGCAGATTTTCCTTCAGCTAGAAGTCATCTTTGTTAAAATTCTCATCTTTTTTGGTGAAACTAATGTAAAATACATCATTCACTCCAACAGGCTTTATGAATAAAACATATTTTTGTGTTTGTGTGGCCCTGTGGCAGGACATAAACAACATAAATGTATATGTCTTTTACTTGGAATTAAAAGGAAAACAGAAGAAGTGAAGTGAAAATATGGTAAAAATATGGTCATATCTTTGAGGTCTGTGTTCAATCTGGGTGTGTCAGCAGCTTTAACTTTATAGTAGTTTTGTCTGACTGTGTAGATCAGGGGTGGGCAATCCTGGTCCTCGAGGGCCACAATCCTGCATGTTTTAGATGTTTCCCTCTTCCAACACACCTGATTCAAATGATCAGCTCATCCTCAAGCTCTGCAGAAGCCTGAGAACGATCCTGATCATTTGAATCAGGTGTGTTGGAAGAGGGAAGCATCTAAAACATGCAGGACTGTGGCCCTCAAGGACCAGGATTGGAGACCCCTGGTGTAGATTGTGCTTGGACACCAAACACTTCCTGACCAATAAACTTGGTAAAAGGCATTTATTACCTGTAAATATGTATGTAAATATAAATTAGAAATAAATATACTGATACATTAAAAAGACACAAAGCGTAGAGATGCATATGCACAGTGCACAGTACATATTGGGGTAACATTTTGTCTCTTCTCTTTTAATAAGAATGAGAGACTATCAGTGGTGAAGAACAGACGGGCTGAACAGTGAACATATACTGTAGATCCTGTAGACACAGACAGGTGACATGCTAAAGTGTGTTGGATCACATGCTGCTTCAATGTCCGTTTACACTGATTCTCAAAGTCTACTGGAGTGATGAACACCATGCTTCTAAAACATATTCCCTCACTTGGTGTTGACGGAGAGCACTGTCTAACTCATCAATTTAAAACCTTCCTCAGGTTAAGACCTGGTGACTATGAAGGCCATATCATCTGATTTAACCTTTTTTATCGTCATCAAATCATTTCACTTCCAACACCTGACTTCAGAATAGCTTCATTGTAGGAAAAATGTGATCTCACAGACAAATTTTGTATTGATTTTAAATTTTCCATCAACACTTTTCACTAAACCTTTACTCTCTCCCGTACAACTGAAAAAAGAAGGTGTTCAGAGTGACATCAAGAAGAGACCCCAGTGAGCAGGTAACTACGGCCAAATGTGTGACAGACAAACCCCCATGAAAAGGCAAGTTAACTTATTTTGGGGGATTCTATTCTATGTAATGTCATTTTTGGCTGTTCAGTTTGAGTATGTGGTCTACCAGTAAACCGGAGATAACTGCAGCTTTAACAGCCTTGTTTAGACATTTACCTTCTTTAAAAATAGAATCAGTATAAAGGTCTCTATCATAAGCTGAGGCCTGACAGTTGGCTGGTAACATTTAAGGCACGAGCTGCACTGGAACCCTGCCTGTCTCTGCCACTGACCCACAGCAAAATGAAGTACACAGTAAGGTGCTGCACTCCCTTCTGCCTCTAACATAACAGTCGAACTGTGTCAGGAAGAGAGGTGCAGTCTCCGATGGCAACATAGAAATATTTATGTGGGAAACAAACAACAGGCAAGTTTTAAAGTAGCAGGGAAAGAGGTGACAAATTGCTGCGGTAAAAAACTTTGTCAGCTCAGATTTTTTGGGGGGTCTTTCTTCAGACAGAGGTCAAAGAGTAGAAGTATGCGTTCCATTTTCAAAAAAAAAGATAGGAAATTAAAACATTGATTAAAAAATCAGCATGAAAAAGCTTCTTTCTCTGATTACTACTCACAGAAAAACCATTTCCATTAGACGGGAGTTTGAAGAAGAACAGGAGGCCGTAACGAGGAAACGTTTAGCTGTGCATGATAAAAAAAAAAGAAGCTACTTTTCTCTTTGTCAGTCATTTCATAGGTAAAATCTAGAAGCGTGAGGAGGAGTGAATGGAAGACAGCCTTGGTGTTTTGTTAATGGCTTTGTTTTGGAGCCTTATAACAGCTAATCATTTGTTTGAACTGTATACACAAAGTTACATACAGAAGGAAGTGGGTTTAAAAAAAACAAAGTACACCTTCAAAGACAGGACAGCGTCAAAGCCTCAGTGAATGTGTGATGTTTACATGGAACACAGAGGGATCTGCGTCTGTATGATGAATGCTCGTATCCTGGTTACT